GAGTTGGGTGCTTGCAGGAAAGGACTGGTGGCTGCGTTTCCTGTCCTCTCCCGAGGCGCAGCAAGCCCAAGTGTCCCCGGTGGGTCCCGGGGAGGGGTGGATTCAAACATTTCGCTGGGCGTCTCCCCACACTGCTGGTGACACAGCCTTCAGGGTTTCTGCTGCTTCTAGCACCCTCTCCTCCTGCCAAGTCCTCTGGTGCCTGTGTGGCTGTCGCATCCCAGCGGATGCGGGGTGGCGAGTGGCCCTGGCCTGCAGCTGTGGCCGGGCCCTGGCCCTGGCCCTGGTCCTGCCCACTGTCTTCTCCCCCGTGGTCCTGCGCTCTGAGCCTCTGACAGACTCGCCTGCCAGGCGTCCTGTTGCTCCGCAGTGTTCAGGGGAGGTGCGGACCGCGCCCGCTCTGTGCAGAGGGCTGCGACACTGATTGTGCCCCAGGCAGGCTGTGAGGAGCTAAGCTCACAACTGGCTTGTTTTTTTGTTTTGTTTTTAGTACCCGGGATTGAACTCTGGACCTTGTGCTTGCGAGGCAGGCGGCGGAACCACTGAGCTAAATCCCCGGCCCACAGCTGGCTGTTTATAGGAGCGAGTCCGGCCGAAGCCTGCGTGCCAGGTCGGAGTGACTGGCACCCAAATTCCCTTCCCACAACTAAAACCTCCAGGCTAGAAGGACGGTGTTCTAATGACGGCCCATGTATTTCATCTATTCTGTTCCTAATTTGGGAATGCTTTGTTTTCCTTTCACAAGCTTGGCTTACGTTAATTTCCATAGAAACCACTTGCAGCTGCCTTTAACCCAGCTGACTGCCAGGCCAGCGCCTGGGACCGGCCAGCCCCTTTGTCGGTTGCCGGGCACTGGCCGTCCCGGCCCGGCTGTCTCTCCTAGTTCTGTCTCTTGGTGTATTCTGAGGCCCCCATCACACGCTGGGCAGAGGGCAGTAGAGACTCACTCTCTGGCACATGTAAAAGGTGAGCTCAGAAAGGTGTGAAACGCGGAAGAACGGGTTTCTTTGCAGAATTCATCTATGACAAAGACAGCTGACTGTCAAAGTGAATCTAAATGTGTGCCTGTGTGTGTGTGTGTCTCGAGCTGAGGGGAGTCATTTGTTGATGTCAGGATCTTTTCTGTGCGATTTTCTGTACGAGTTTCATTATGAAAAGTAGCAGGAGAGCGAGACAGGGCTACTGTGTGTCCATCTGTAACCGTTGTTTCCCAGAGCTCGCGTCGCTCCCACCTTGGGATGTGGTACGGTCCCCACTTACCAAGCGTCCTGGGCTGGGCTGGGCTGGGCTGGGGTGGGGACACAGGAAGTGGGAAGCAGGGGTCCCCCAGCTCTCTGCGGGCCTCAGGACTTCCAGTGTGGTCACTGGGATGTGGGCTGTGGGCTGTGCGAGGGGGCAGAACCTGGCCTGGGACCCCAAGGCAGCGCCTGAGCCTGAGCTGGGATGTGGGAGCAGGAGGCCCCATGAGGCCTGGCCCCTGCCTGCACCTGTCCAGGACAGCAGAGGTCCTGCGGCCCAGGGGGCCGAGGCTGAGGGACACTGCCAGCAGCAGGGCAAAAGTGGCCGGGAGGCAGCGAGGTGGACCCGGCCAAGCATGAGGTCCAGGCCAGCGAGGGAGGGATGGGGACCGGGGAGGGACAGCGTCAGGGCCCCGTAGGGAGAGCAGATTCTGGGGCTCAGCACATGGAAAGGCAGGGAGAGGCGCAGGGCCCGGGGTGCAGGAGAGACCTGGAGCCCCTGTCCTGCAGAGGGAGGAGCTGCGGTGATGGAGCCACCTTCGGCTCAGCGGGCCTCCCTGGCCAAGGACGAGAGGCCCAGATGCCCGGGTCAGAGCCCTGAGGGGAGGAGGGGGTGAAAAGGCCTCATCATCCTGCTGTGAGGACACAGGGACAGCAGCGCCCGAGCAGCTGTCCTCACGGCCCAGGCCGAGAGGGGGCCCCGCAGCTCCCTCTGTCCCTCAGAACCCCGAGACAGCAGAGATGTTCTGCGTCTGCCCTGTCCCCACACAGCTGCCACCAGCCACCCTTGGCTTCCTGCTCTCCAGATTGGCTTCATTTGGATAAATTTAAAACCATCAGGCCAGCGGCGACCTCCAGCTCCTCAGCTCCTACAGGAGAATGAGCCCTGCTCTCAGGGGGCCCTCGACTTTCTATGAAATCAAATCCCACACTATACAAAGGCCCTGCCACCCCAGGAAGGGTGGGGCTCTGTGGGCACAGGAGCGGCGAGGTCCAGAGGCCCGGGGAACGCCAGAGAGTACTCCAGGAATGTCAGCACTTAGGGTTTATGTTCAGAGCGTGGGGAGAGCACTGGCTTCCACGACGTCATCGTTAAATGTACTTAGGTGAACAAGTGAACTCACATAAAGGAAAATGCGAACAGCACATCTGGCTCACCGAGACGTCCAAATGCAGGGCGGAAGGGCTGCTGGGTCCCACCAGGGCGTCCCTGGGACCTGGGGCAGGGGGTGCCCTGTTTCAGGGCAACGTGACGGGGACACCCCGCTCCTCCCCACCGCACACCATGCACGGACAGCGGGTGCACAGCTGCCCCAGGGCACAGTGCTCCTCAGGGCTCCTCCCGCTGGTGTGACACACTCCTGCCATGCCATCCCCTGCTCCCAGGGAAGGGGAGCAACATGGGGCTGGGAGAGACAGTGGCCGGTCCCTAAGGCTGCCACCTCCCGGCACGTGGTAGGTGGGCAATAAGGACGAAGCCACAGGTGTGTCCTGAAACCCGGCTGTGAACTGGACCAACGCAGGTGTCCCTGGCCTGGGGGAAAGGGACCCGTAGGACCCGCTCCTGGACGCAGCCCCGGGGACACAGCTCTTCATGACCATGCCGTGTCATGGCAGTGGAAACCACGTGTGAACCCAGGGCTGGGACAGAAGCAGGAGTGGCGTCGTCCAGCTGGGAATGGGGCGCTGGGTCGCCCAAGGAACGGAAGTGTTTCACTGGGGTGGAGAAGAATGGACAGGGTTTTGCTGGGCCGAAAGAGGAGAAGGTGAGGCCCAGCTCCCCAGAGGTAATAGCACAGCATTTTCCTGAAGGGAGGGCAGGCTCTGAGGCTCACTTGGCAAGGGTCAAGTTCTTCAGGGCCCAATTAAAAAGAAACTTCAAGGCCTTCTGAACAGAGCTGAGTAGTTTGGACTTTGATCTTGTGGGGCAGTGGGAGCTACAGAGGTTGGGACATGCCTATCACCTGGCACTGAGGGAGGCTGAAGCAGGAGGGTTGCCGGTCCGAGCCCAGGTTGGGTGACTTAGCAACTTAGTGAGGCCCTGCTTCAAAGCCAAAAAATTAAAAAAGCCAAGGATGCGCAATGTGAAGACCCTGGATTCAGTTCCCAGTACTAACTACTGCACCCCACGTAAAAATGTTATATAAACTAGTGACTGTCTATATATATTTTTGTTTGTGTGTGTGTTTGTTTTTTGTTTTTTGTGGTTTTTTTTTTTGTTGTTGTTGTTGTTTTTGTACCAGGGATCAAACTTGGGCCCTTACACTTGTGAGGCAGGTGGTGGAACCACTGAGCCAAATCCCCAGCCCTGTATATGTTTTTTAAAACCAGTAAGAAATATTCCTGGGAGAATCACCCAGATGGACCTAGGAGTCCGAGCCTTTCTGCTGGCGGTGGGCGTGTCCCAGCACCACTGATCTCCCTCCTCCAGCTCTGCTCTGTCCCCAGAAGCTGTGCCCTGCTGCCCAAGGCCCCAGCCCCTTGTTCTTGGCATCAGCATGTGGAGAAGACCAGGGTCCCAGGTGCAGGCACATCTTATGCCACAGCCAAGTGACAGAGGTGGCAAAGAGCCCAGGCTGGGTGCTGCAGGGTTCACATGGCAGGGTGGGGGCTGTCCCAGTGAGGGTCTGAGACCGGAGAGGTGCTTTTCTCAGCCTTGGAGCAGGCGTTGCGGAGCCAGCAGAGCCGGAGGCCAGGGCTCTGCCACTCAGGCTTCCTGCCGGCCAGCCCTGGCCTTAGACCAGGGCCAGCGCATGGCAGGGGACCTTGGTCCTGCTGCACGGCCGGCAGGTGAGTCTTCACGCTGTGCTGCAGAACACGTGCGCGCGCACACACACACACACACACACACACACACACACACACACACACACACACACAC